GAACCAGCAGACAAAAAATGAGATTCTGTCCGATGAATAAAACAAGAACTAATTCATTATGCATGCATTTTAGAGCATCATTTTTTCCATATACATAATTTTTGCAGCTTTAGAGTCAAGTTTCAACTTCAAGACGAAAGATACTTGATTCAAAGCATATTCAGAAATTGATGGTAGTTACTCAACTTCACAGCGAAGGGGCAACTGTTTGTCGACAAATAACTTTCCAATTTCATTCAGAGTCAATTTCAACTTCACAGCAAAGGATATTAAACTCAAAGCGACACAATTTTCTCGAGAGTAGATTTCAACTTCACGACGAAGAATATCTAGCTTGAAGTCAAACTTCACAATAAAGGGGTCATCTACGGTTTCAACTTCACAACGAATGGAATTGTGTCCACCCGCAACATACAATACTTGGATTTCAAATTCACGACGAAGGATATTCAAGTCAAGGCTCAACTTTACGACGAAGGGGCCATCCACGATTTCAACTCCACAACGGAGGATATCGTACCCACACATCCACGATTTCAACTCCACAACGGAGGATATCGTTCTATTTTGAGGCTCAACTTCACGACGAATGGGATTCCCAGTTTCAGAGCCAATTTCAAAATTTCAACTTCACAGCAAAGGATATTAAACTCAAAGCAACACAATTTGCTCGAGAGTAGATTTCAACTTCACGACGAAGAATATCTAGCTTGAAGTCAAACTTCACAATAAAGGGGTCATCCACGGTTTCAACTTCACAACGAATGGAATTGTGTCCACCCACAACATACAATACTTGGATTTCAAATTCACGACGAAGGATATTCAAGTCAAGGCTCAACTTTACGACGAAGGGGCCATCCACGATTTCAACTCCACAACGGAGGATATCGTACCCACACATCCACGATTTCAACTCCACAACGGAGGATATCGTTCTATTTTGAGGCTCAACTTCACGACGAATGGGATTCCCAGTTTCAGAGCCAATTTCAACTTCACATCGAAGGATATTGGACTCGAGACAACACAAGTTCAACTTCACAGCGAAGGGACGGCTGGTTGTCAACAAACAATTTCCCAGTTCCAGAGCCAATTTCAACTTCACGGCGGAGGATATTGGACTCGGAACAATACAACTTACTTGGATTTCAACTTCACGACGAATGATATCCAATTCCTGGCTCAACTTCACGGCGAATGAGCCACCCACGGTTTCAACTTCACGACGAAGGGAATCGTACACACAAGCAGCATCCATCTCCAGCTTGGATTTCAACTTCACAGCAGAGGATATCCAACTCAGAGAATGAGTGTCTGTCAACAAACTTTTCAGTTTCGAAGTCAAATTCAACTTCACAGCGAAGGATATTGGCCTCGAAACAGCATACTGGATTTCAACTTCACGATGAAGGATATCCAATTCCAAGGCTCAACTTCACAACGAAGGGCCCATCCACGGTTTCAACTTTACGATGAAGGGAATCGTGCTCATCATTGTCTCTCTTGAGACAATTTCCAAGTTTTGTCTCTCTTGAGACAGTTTCCCTTGAAACAAAATATTGTCTCTCTTGAGACAGTTTCCCTTGAAACAAAATCTTTGAATATCTTTTCCTTGAAACAAATTTCGTCTCCCTTGAGACAGTTTCTTTTAGAACTAAGTTTTTCTTGAGACATTTTCTTTTGAAACAAATTTTTTCCCTCTTGAGACAATTTCTCTTGAAACACAAAAAAACCCTCGAAATTGTTTCTCTTGAAACACACACACAAAAAACCTTTGAAAATGTTTCTCTTGAAACACCAAACCCTCGAGTTTGATTACACTCAGCTTCGAGGGCACATCATTTACAACATAACTCAAGGCTAGAAGGGTTATCTGTCACCAAAAGAACTTCGAGTTCGACTATGCTCAGCTCTAAGGCACATCATTTACAGTATAACTCAAGGTAAGACGAGCTATCTGTCAATAAAATTGTCGAGTTCGATTCTATTCAGCTCGATGAAACCTTAATCACACTATTGTCCGACTGCAATCGAGGTTTTTCAAGCCGAGAAGAAGGTTTGGGTTAGCCTTGCCTTAGTAGCAAGAAGCCTTTTTTCCGTCAGCATAACTTAAGTCGAGAAAAACTATCTGTCAGCGAAGACTTTTCGACTTCGGTTTTATTCAGCTCGAGGGCATATCAACCACATTGTGGAGTCAAGAGATTACTTTCCAGTTGAATTTTTAGCCAATGTCTTTAAACCGAGAATAAGACCAAAGTGGACTACAACGAGAAGCCACATTCTGATTCAAATCATTTCAAGATGGACTCGACTTCGCGACGGAGGAGCCATCCGCAATTCAATTCGACAAAGAGTTATTCTTCAACTCCACTGAACGAAAATTTGTGTCTTTTTTATCTTTGTCCTATTTTTTATTCCACGAAAAAGGACAAAGAAGGGCAGCTGTAGACACCCATTTTCTTAAAAAATAGAACTAACAAGAGTTTGTCTCCTAGGAGGACTCTTCCACCACCATATCTTTTAAAGCAACAACCATATCAACAAATGTGCAACAACCGAGCAAGGAGTCTAGTTGCATTAGGATTCTATTGTTAATAGGATTCTAAAAATAGTTAGTTTTTTTCACTATAATAAATGTAATCCTCCCCATTTGTAACACACGATTTACATACAAAATACAGAGGAAAGCACTAAAAATACAAAGGCAAAGCTATTGTAAACGATTCGAAAAGGAAATAAAAGACAACCGGTAAATTAATTGGTACCGAAAGGGTGGTTCAAGGGTGCTAATCCTTCCTTGACTGTAACCGACTCCCGAACCCGACACGTTTCTAGTACAACGCAGATCAAGTAAGATGGTGTCTAACCCACCTAAATTCGTTTTAAAGTGGCCGGTGGCGACTCTAACCCAACTCATCCACATTTTTCAAGTTGAAGCCCAATTCTGGGGCACAACCGAAAGACGGTTACGACACTATATAACAAGATATTTATTATCAAAAAATCATGCAAAAATTTTCACAACTTTACCTCTCGTCATAGACGAACAGAATGAAAAACACTACTTGCTTAAAGGAACCTGAGATCTCCAAAGTGGATCCAGAGCATAAAACAAAAATCAAGATAAGAATGTTACCTTCTGAAGAGGAGTCCGAGTTAGCCTCTATGGAAGAACTGATCAGAAATCAAAAATAGGATGGGGATGTTTCCCTCCGAAGAGGACCCCATGTAGAATCAGTACGATATATAATCTCATACAGAATCGGATAGAGATTATGCCCTTCATAGAGGATCCCATCTAGAATCAGAACGGAGATATAATTCCATGCAGAATCAGAATGGTGATTATGCCCTTCATAGAGTGCAATGCCCCAAACTTTGGTTAGTGACTAAAATGTAAGATTTTAAAGTTTGGTTACTAAAGTATAAACTTGTAAAAATGTAGGGACCAAAAATGTAATTTTGAAATGTTATATATATTTAAGCCCGTAAATATAGAAGAATTTATTTGGTAATCAGATTTTCGATACGATATTTGTGTTAAAAACTATAAAGCGATAAAGTTCGGTGTCAAAATCAAATAATCGGATCGAACCAAAATTTTACGAAAATCAGATAAAGTTCGAGGTCAATTCAGGTTCAAACTTTAGATGGAAAAAATTAATTTGATACGAGATAATACTATAATTATCTATTATATATTTAAGGATAATTGTAATAATACTTATCTTTATGTTATTTTTCCAATTAGATCTTTGTTTTACCTAGTAAATATGTTTAAAAGACTGGTCGGATCATATATAAGTTTATCTTAAAATTAGATCGGGTAAAGCCCTTTTAAGCCTAAGTCGATGAAAGAGTTTAATTTTCAGATCAAATTTAAATATAAATAAATTAAAAATCTAATTCGACTCAACCCAACTCATGATCATTTGTAATTATGACTGTCCTTTGTATTGTTAATCACATTATGCAAGTTTTGCACAACCTAGTCCTTCAAATATGAACATAAGAACCTGGAACAAAATACCAATAATGATTGAGGTAATCATTTTTTTAAAAAATTTAAAATTATTATATATTTTTAGATTTTTTAAATATTTTTATTAAAAATTTATTTTTATCCATTATGAAAATTTTAAAATTTAAATACTCATTTTAATAGCTTGTAAGTTAATTAAGTCTAGATCAAACTTAAAAAAATAATTTAAATTATATATTATATATTTCAAGAAAAAATTATATATTTTATTTAAATCTGTTGAAGAATCAGGTAAAGAAAAACGAAAGAACACAATAATTTTAACGAGGTTCAGTAATGTGCTTACGTCATCGGTGCCTAGGCGACGCTAGAAGTTTTATTTAATGTCTCATAGGTTTAGGTTATATCTCTATTTATAATAAATAAATCATGGTACATATTTACAAATATAACCCTGTACCGTATCGCGGGACTACGCCCCCGCACCCCAACCCACATAATCGTAACCCCCACTACGAGACTTTCTTTATAAGGACAATTGATGTTCGCTGCGTTCTCTTCGCTCACTCCGCTCCATCCCCTGTCCTCTTTACCGGTATATTTATGAGTCATAACTAACAAAATCTAATTAAAGAAAATCTAAAATATTAATAATAAATTATATTTCAATAGTTTAAGAATCCAAATTTATAACTATTTTTAAATAATAATTTAAGTCGATTTAATTGAGTTCAGGTTTTAATTTTAAAAAATCAAATATTCGTATCCTAAAAATGGAATTTTATAATTATAATACTTATTTAAGGACTTTGAAATATTGTTGGGGGAAATGTATTTTAAAAAACTTATCGGTTAAAGCGTTTTTCATTTGGAAACTTGCTGTCCACCACAACCACAAGAATTGACAACTAAGCAATCAAATCAAAGGGGCCGAAGGATAAATTACAACACAATATGTTGCAGAAAGACATATCTTCAAAGAAAAGGGTCATATCTGGAAATTTTAAAAAGAAAAGAAACCACGTCTAACAAACCGATTACTTGTCGGTTTCTGCATCGACAGGAAATCGGATCCTGGCCGTCAATCTATAACCCTAAAAATCTAACCGTCCAGAGATTATTCTCGTTCATTGGCCTTCTTACGTCGGGCAATCTGACTTTTCCAGATTCAGGGATTCCGACGCGGAACGCAGGGGGGAAAAGCTTCAATTGAAAGCAAAAATTTTCAGTTTTGGATTAAAACTAAAAGAACCAAAGGAAATTAACGGATCAGTAGTAATTCGTTTGATCTGGTGGGAAATTTCAATTCTAAAACTGAAGAATTAGGGTTTCTTTCTTCTCTCTTTAGATTTCTTTGATCTCGTTTTCATTTTCATTCTCTTTTATAAAAAGATGAACAATCAGTCTCAGATGATGAATCAGCCACCGCAAATGATGATGAACGCGGTCCAGGTCCAAGTTCCAGTTCAACCGCAGATGACGAATAAGTCTCATCAGTTGATGTCGTCGGCGGCTCACTCTCAGGCGATGAATCAATTTGTGGTGGCGCAGTCGCAGCCCATAAGTTCTGGTACTCAGATGATGACTCAGCCTCCTCCGATGATGCTTAATCGAAGCTATGAGCCTTGGCAATCTCGGGACCCAAACCAAAACCCTAACCCTAGCAAGAAATTCTCTTCTTTCAATCGTAATAACAACTGGAAGGGGAAAAAAGTTTCGTTCGCTAAAGATTCTTGGAAGTTTGAGAATAAGCCTTTATCCATGGGTTCTGGTTCTGCTATTTCTTCTGTGCCTGTTTCTTCCGGTAGTAATACTCAAGGATACAAACCTCCAACTCTTAACGAGCTACGAAATCAGAACCGGTTAAAAGCCAGAAAATTCTACGGCAACAAGAAGAAATTCAATTACGGCAACAACCGGTTTGCTCCTTATGCTCCGCGAAATACAACTTCCTTTATAATCCGAGCAAAAAAGTCCGGTGGCATAACGTCTTTGGTGTCGCCATGTCCTGTGACACCCGCGGTTCTTCCTACGCCAATGTTTTCACCATCAAGGGAGGTTTTGGGTGATATGGCCAAGGAAGAATGGGGTGTGGATGGTTATGGGTCAATGAAGGGGTTGATTAGACTTCGATCACCGGAAATTGGTCACGATGAAGAGGAAGACGAGGATGGGGGAAATGGTGGGGATTCAAGTGAGAGTGATGTGGAGGAACACGTGGAAGTGGAGAGGAGATTGGACCACGATTTAAGTAGGTTTGAGATGATATATCCAAGTTATGGAGGTGATTATAACAATTCTTTGGAGAATAGAGTGGATGATCAAGATACCCATATAGCTCAGTTGGAAGAAGAGAATTTGACATTAAAAGAAAGGTTGTTTTTTATGGAGAGGGAATTGGGGGATTTGAGGAGGAGGTTGCAGTTTTTAGAGAGGCAGAGTCAGATAGTGGAAGATGTTAATGAGGAGGTTGTGGAGAATGGGTCTGATAAGGAGAGTGAGGATGTTGGCTCTGATCTTAGGGTGGTTACCAGTGCTGCTGCTCATAGTAATGTGGAGATGCTGAGGTTTGCTGCTCATCATACTAGAAACGTTGATGTTGTGGAGGTGAGCAATAATGGTGGAATGCCACAGAATGAAATTGTAATGGATGTTTTTATGGATGAGGCTGCAAGAGAAAATGAGCTAAACAACGAAGGAAAGGGGAACAGTGAATTAAAGCCTCAAAATGTGAAGGAGGGAATAATTCGAGACGAGGAAAATGATGCCAAGGGTGGTGACGCCAGAGGCAATGAGTTTGTTGAGGAGAAGCATGTTGAAGAAAACATGGACGAGTATGTGGAGGAGAAGACTGTTGAAGAAGACAAAGACAAGTCGAGGTGCGAAGAAATTAGCAATGAGGCTGCTGAAAACACTGACACAAAGAAAGAGGAAGTGCGTTTATGAACAGCATTGGCGAAGGTGACTGACTGACTGACTGTTTTAAACTTGCCTGGGTAATGTATGAATTGGGGATCTTAGCTGTGTTTTTACATTTTTTTAGTTTTACAGGGTCAAGAGAGGGTGCTTGGACTTTGCTCTCCTTTCACTGCCCTCATATGCTCTTGGAAGTGTGCATCTTTTCTGGCTTTTTTTTTTATTTGTTTCCCCCTCTTTTTATCGTCCTTTTGGTTTGGAAAGGGTTAAAAGGGGTGTGTGGGAAAAGGGGAGCTGTATTTGTTTAGCTGGAAAAGGGTTATCCATTAAAGTTCTTTTGTTACATACACATGTTTGTGTTGATTTCAACTTCTTTACTGTTTGAAAAAGAACCTACTAGTATGTAAGACAAATTTTTGCTTTGATGTATTTATGATTGTTTTGCATAATGTCCTGAACTGAAGCTTCTTCTTTAACATATTTCTCTCTCACAAAAGTATTGTGGTTTGATATTATTGGTCATTATCTCTTCCTGTTTCTAAATTAACAAACTTACTGGTCAAATTAATTGCCTTCTTATGGGATTCATATGATACTTTCTATTTATATTTCTAAATTGACATAGTTGAGATCTGATTTGCCCAGTCTTGTGTTACTGAGAAATAATTGAAAAAGAAAATTCTTACTATGATCATTCCACTTGTTAGCATGCAGAAGGGAACTCTTCATCCCATGTGCAAGTTTTAATCAGTTGTCCATTATTGTTTGTATATTTATGTTAAAAAGAGAGTGTTTGTTCTATTTTGGTAATTTGATACTGCTGAATAATATAAGTGAGGCTTGTGGCCGTAAGATGGTTTGCTTCTCTGTTATTCTTGGAGTTAATTGGTATACTACTTTTTGTGCATCATTGTACACACTCTCTTGTGGACAGTTCATAGTGTTGTACTAAAATTCTATGTTAAATTGTGTTCTGTTACTCGGGCTAGTGTCCGATAGTGTATGTTCAGTTTTTTTTTCTCTGCTCTTCCATATCTGGAGTGCCCGTATCGTACCTCGTATGTGACTGGCTATTAGTTCGACAGTGTGGCTATGAGCTTATTCGTCTAAGGACTCATTTATCATGGGGCTGATTCACTAGCTAAGTCATAACTAACTAATTAGTTGTTTGTTTGTCTGTATATTTTGCACATAAAATTCACAGGAGGAACTGAAAGGGTAAAAAACCTAGCACGGCTTCATGTGCAGAATCCTCTTTATCGTTGAGGTGAAAGCTGTGGAGGTTTAGTTCATTTACATTATTATTGAAGTCTTACCTGGATAATGATTCTCCTTGTACTACTCCATGACTCTTAAAACTAGAGCTGCAGTGTTTTTAAGGAGTGTATCCATCAAGGATCATGTTAAGTTGGCAGATTGTGTGGTCATTTCCAGAAGCATTTGATTAATATTGGGACACAATATGAATGAAGTATATTTTCTTTCCACTCAACTTGTTGGGACTGGCAATGCCAATATAGCCTTTTGTCTTTTCAGTTTGGCATTGGATTCCACTTTCATGTATCAGATGCGAATTGTTTCACTTTATTTATTAATTAGACAAGACAAAATGGGAATATTTTATACGGAAGACTGAAATTATTTCATTCAAAAGAGAGGGTTCATGTATGTTTATTCCTAGCACCTTTGGCAAATCCGACCACCTTTGCGGACATTCGAGAAAGATCAAACTTCAAAAGAATGACATTTGCTCATGTTAATTATTATTATATATTTAATTTATATCTTAATTTTAAATAACTAAATATTTTTTCCTTATTTACATATTCAATCAATTTAAGTCGATCATTCCACTTCACTAATACCATCTACATGGTTACTTCATCAAGGCCAACAAATCACTGTAATTGTCGTGTTGAGATTTGGTAATTCACGGATGCTTTGTGGGACAGTAGCAGAAAATTTGTTGCAACTATATCTGCTCAAGCTGGTTCAAGAATCTTAGTTGAGGTGGTAAGGTGATAAGGGTGAAGGAAGTAAACGCTTGCAATGCCCTTGGCGGCAATTGAGGGTAGGTTTTTAATTTTAAGTAAAACAATTGTAAGTTACATTTTCTTTCCTTCCATGCGGGTCCTGAATTTTTTTCAACCCCAAATTGATACGGTTTATAAATACGAAGGGTTAAATTTGTTAAATTATTTATATTTAAGATTTAATTGATAAATTTTGTAAATATTGAAAACCAAATATGTTACTATATCAATTAACCAACCATCATGTCAACAATCAATTAATCATTTAATGAGACTGGTTAAAATAGTTGAAATTTATAATTTTGGCTACAAATTGAGAAAAAAAAATATTAGTTGAGTGACCAAAATAAAAATAGTTCCGACTCTCAGGAAAGCTCACCCTAGTAACAATAACCATGAGACATACATGAATTGAGAACCTGCAGTTAAACAATCGAAAGAGTAAGAGAGATGGAGAGTCCCAAAAATATAGCATTGGTACATAAGGAAAGGAAACCACAAAATCAGAAATCAGCATTCTGAGCCCAACAACTTACCTTCTACCTGGAAAATAGTGTAAAAGGGGGGGGGGAATAATGTAAAATACTGATACATACATGAATTTAAATATAAATTCTTACTGCTGCTTCCCTTGCATTTCCATTTATATCCTCATTTCCTTTTATCGTCTTTTTTTCACTCTTTCTATCCTTGATCAGTCAATTGTCATGGGTTGAGTCATGCAACACCTGAAGCGGGCCTTACGAACGGTTGTAAGTATATCCATTTCGGCAATCTCGAGCATCTTCACGATATCAAAGAAGGGTGGACGGACTTCTGGGTTAGTATCCCAGCAACGCATCATGATCTCACGCAGCACCGGGAGGCAATCATTCGGAATAACTGGCCTTACACCCTTGTTCACCACAGCAAATGCTGCCTGCACTGCAGTCATGTTCTGGAAAGGAAGCAAGCCTGTGATAAGCTCCCACAGGACTATTCCAAAACTATACAAGTCTACTTTTTGCGTGTAGGGTCTGTGCTGTATCATCTCTCTGCAAGAACAAAAGATAACTACTAATATGAATAACGAACAAAAATGTATAAATTACTTAACAGATGCAATTCAGATACCAATTCAGCCGGTCAGCTAATGAATGCAGTTTCATGTAAAGCATAATTTCTGTGGAAACTAATGATAAACTAAATGTCAAAACAACTGCATCAGCAAACACCATCACATGATTATTATTGCTTTGGACAAATCTAAATAACATAGTAAGTGGGAGAGTAACAAGATCAAGTGATTGATGAAGAATACTAGAATTAGATTCTTAGGAGAACTTTCAATACTTTCAAATTGCGAACCCAGATCTAAAGAAAGAAGACCTGTTTTCACATCCATCTTTTTTTTTTCTTTTTGAAAGAATCACAGCCATCTTAGCTGGAACAAAACAAACACCCAAAAATATGGACAAAATATATGATTAACTGCAAATAGGGGCAGCGGATGAAGACAAGCTCATTACAATCTCTCTTGCTCAAAAATCTTTTTATTTTATTTTATAAAATCTTGCTCAAATATCGCTCAAATATCTGAACTGTTTAAAACTTCACAAGAAGACTTACGCTTCAAAACCAATTTAGGATATATATAAATGTATGAACGAGTGCTTGAAAGTACTTTATAAATCATCCACCTTATAGTTGTTGCATCTTCTTTGTTTTACTTGAGAAGAAGCCTAATTCACTTTAAGCTGCAACAAACCAGATGCCAGACCTCAAAAATACAATATTCTAAGATGATAAATGTACATCCCCAGTAATCTACTCAAAATTTCTTCGAGATAACCAACAACTAAATCACTTTTCAAGAATTTGAATTTGTTTAAACATTACAATATTCTAACCAAAAAACAAATAGAACTCAAAATATCTAAATAAAATCTGCAAAATCATTGAAGGTTATTAAATAAAGGGGTAGGAAATCGACACAGAAATATCGCACAGCCTTATAGGTTTTTCTTCAAAAAAAATCCAAGTTCACGCAAATTAGCAAGAATCACCTAACAAATATGGGAACTGCCATCAATATTCTTTTAACAAAAAAATTATAAATGGTATATTGTAAAAGAGGTAGACTTTAACATATACAATACAAAAAACTTACGGAGCCATCCAACGGTATGTCCCTGTCTCTGGTGTCATGCCCTCAGTCTGCACCTCAATACGTGCCACTCCAAAATCTGCAATCTTTATTGATTTATCAGAAGCTATTAGAAGATTATCTGACTTCAAATCCCTGTGAATAAACCCAAGCCCGTGCACACAGGCCATCCCTCTTGCAACATCCAGTGCTTGCTTAACTGCCAATTTCAATGGCACAGCACGATTCTGCCTCCTTGTCAGAAACTGTCGAACTGAGCCACCCTTTGCATACTCCGTCACAATGCACCAAACCATAGGTTTGCGACAACCCCCAATAAATCGAACAACATTTGGATGCTTCAGTGTTGCAAGCATCGTAACTTCCTGCTGAAATTGTTGTTCCATAACTTGTGCCTTCTCTGGGCTATTCTCCGGCCTTTCTAATATCTTAATCGCAACATCCTCACCATTATATGTACCTCTGTATAACTTCCCAAAGGCTCCTTGAGCAAAAGCTGAACCCATGTTAAGTATCCTTAAATCGATAGTCCACTCATCATAATTTAGCAATCCCTCAGTTGGATACCTATTATCGATCAATGCCTGTGCTAATGCATCATCATTAAGTGCATGGCCAACTTTACCAGGACGAATCACGCTCTGTCCCACAGACGTGGAGTAATTGTGGCGGTTAGTAGGCTTCAGACCAGGGTGGCTTAAAATGTGGGTTAGAGAATCATTAGAACCGATGCTACTGTTTTCAACTGAAATGGACACAATTGTCTGTAAACTGTCAATAGACATGTTGGTGCCCTCTCCAAGCTTTTGGTAAAACCCTTGAGTAAAATCATAGTAATTGTTATCATTGTTGTTGGTTCCTCCCATAAGTCCTGTAAATTTAGGACCCTCAACCATTTTCCCAATCATGAATGAAACCCCAAATGATAAAAACTATGATAAGCAGATGCCCTTAGCCCGAACTCTTTATACACATTCGATGGCACAATCTCTACACGACCTGCCCAAAAACCAGCAAAAATGAAAGCCTGTGAGTTCCGTCTGACATTAAGAGCTAAAGATTATGGACGAGCACTGATCAGGTTTTATGACAAAACTAGAGTCAATAGATAGAGAGAATCAAAAGTGTTCAACAAAAGTACCCATTAGCAAGCAAAAGGAGGTAAATGAACATTTGGAGATTTAAGAGGATAAGTATCATCAGACAGCCAGGTCCTTACATTTTTTTTTCTTGG